CAGTTCCCCTAAAGAGTCACAGGCTTTGAAGAGGACTGGAAGCACTAACTGATAAGGCCGAAGATGACAACATTGACTGGACTACACCTCAACACCAAGACGATAACCGCTGCTGACAAGATTGAAGCTGTCAAGGACTTCATTCTACTTGGGTCCACAGTTAACACTTGGAAGCAGCAATTACGGAAGCAAAAGACATTGCAATTGCATCAGGCATACATGCTGCAAGAACAGAAAGACACGAAGACGCCACTTCGGGGACTAAGGTGTCTGGCCCTAGCCAGAGTGATTTTCCTCGCCTCATATACATGCGAAAGCTGGACAACCAATGACGGAAGACAGAGAAGAAGGGATGTGTTTGAATGACGCTGCTGGTGAACAGTGCTGAATGTGCTATGGAGCACCACAGAGTCAGCAGTTCAAATCCACCTGCCGCTCCATGGGAGAGAGATGAAGTTTTTGGCTTGAGTAGAGAGTTAGAACCTCGGAAATCCTAAACCGGGTCACTAGGGGTTGGAGCCCGCTTGACAGCACATCACCACCATGGGCCAGAAGAACAGGTGACAGATCTGTGTTGAAAGAAGTATAGTCCAAAGGCTCCCTGGAAGCTACAATGGTACAATGGTGAGGCTTTGGCGCATGTACTTTGGACATGTTATGAGTCTGGGCCAGTCCTGGAGAAGGACATGATGCTCAGTAAAGTGGAGGGACAGAGGAAAAGAGGAAGAGCTTAATGAGACAGACTTTCACAGTCGCTACAACAATGGCAGTGGTCACGAGGAGGGCCCAGGACAGGACTGGGCAGCCTTTAATTCTACCGTGCACGGGGCTACTATGATTCACAGCAACAACAGACTTTGTTGAGAAAGTTGGTTGTTGTTGTTAAGTGCCGTCGAGTCAGTTTCAACCCACAGCGACCCTGTAGAAGGTTTCCAAGGAGATGCTTGTGAGTTTGAACCACCAACCGTGCAGCTCAAACTGACTTTGCAGTCCAGTGCATTAACCCACAGCGCCACACCAGGTCTCCTGATAAGAAAGTTTAGGCAGTATTATTATTATATGTTGTTGTTAAGTGCCAGTGAGTCGATACCGACTCATGGCAACCCTCTACGGGGTTTCCAAGGAGCGGCTAGTGGGTTTGAACTGCCAACTTTGTGGTTACTAGTCCAGTGCTTACTCTACAGCGCCATACCCGGTGATGACTATCACCTCCACCATCTTTATCATCTAAGGAGGCAAAGACGCCCAGAGAGCCTAGTGAGAAAGACAAGTCTTTCTGCTCTCGTAAAGATTTGGTGGTTGTGTGCCATTGAGTCGGTTCCGACACATAGTGACCCTGTCTGTATAGGGTTTCCCAGGCAGTAAATCCTAAGGGGGAGCAGAAAGTCTCATCTTTCTTCTGTGGAGCAGCTGGTAGATTTGAACCGCTGACCTTGATGTTAGCAGCCCAACGTGTAACACCACAGTTATGATGCCCTAGAAGCTGAGGCAAGCACGAGTGCTGAAAACTCACTGTTGTAAAGAGACCGATTTTGCGAGTACCAAGGACCAATGCCAGCAAAGCAGACCATTTGAGGTGCAAATGCCTACATTTATCTTGCAGCAAAGCCACTCTTCGGCTGCAGCCAGACTTTCTCCAGAATGATATCAGAAAACCAGATTGGACAGGGCTGCGCTGGGCTGACAGGCAGAGAGGAGGAGAAGACAGGGCACAGAATCTGGGCTCCAAGAGTGGAGGTCTGGCCTCACATTCCAGCTAACTATCTGGCTGTGGCTGAGAGGAGAAGGTTCACTCGCAGTGGAAATGGGGACACTGCCTGGAGCTGATCACCAAGGCTGCAGACAAGGGATGTGGGGACACGTTGTGCAGGACGGAACATAAACTGCCCCACAGGCTTTCCAAGCTGCCAATCTTGACAGAAGCCGATGGCCTCACCTTTGGTCCTGCAGACCGGCTAGTGGGTTTGAACTGCCGACCAGGGCTCCTTGTGCAGAACACAGTGCTGGGCAAATCCAATTTGCTTTCCGGTGTGGTATCTGCCAGGATCTGCCTCCACATAAGTGGGGAGCGGTGAGGGCTCTGTGCAAGGCCCGCAGAGGAGGATCGCCTTAGAAGGTGCTGTCAGAATAGTTCCCGGTGAGCCTCAGGAACCTCACACCAGTGAGGAAGAAAGGAGTCTCTGCTGAGAGTCTGCTAAAGGGGGCAGGCACCTGGGGGGCCCTCAGATTCTCTTGTGATCCCAATTTTACAAATAAGGAAACTGAGGCTTAGAGAAGAGAGCGAAATTAAACAAGACTCACAGGAAAAGAACTAATGTTACCTGAGCTAGCATGGTAAAGATGAACGTGTCTAACTTAATTCTAATTCAGTTAGAACACTCCTAACTTAAACACCTTGTGAAGGAGGAGTCCTGGCGTGGCACTGCAGGATAATGCGCTGGACCGCAATGTCAGCTGGAACCACAAGGTTGGTGATTCAAACCCACCAGCCGCTCCTTGGAATCCTTATACAGGGCTGCTAGGGGGCGGAACGGACTCAACAACAACAACCTTATGAAGTAAGAGTTATTATTATGCCATGGTCACACAGGGCAGAGTGAAGACTATCACTAGATCTCACTGTCTCCCAGGGGCTACTTCGCCATCTCTGGCTGCCCTCCTTCAGAGCCTAGAGGGCCATGGACACTTTCCCAGCTGATAATAATACTGCATCTGGTAGGTAGCAGGGTGCGCTCTGTGGCAGTTGGCTGGCAAAGATGGCCTGCAGAGATGCTGTACACTGGACGAGGGCAAAAGGCTCCCTGTTCCCCTGGGTAGCAGAATGGGTCCAGACACTGTGAGGCACCCAGACAACGGAATACTACCGCCCAGTGAAATAGAACTGGCCACCAGCACACAACCACCTGGAGGCATCCCTCAAATAGGACACAGTGAGGGACTCCATTCCTATGAAGCCCAAAGCAAATCTCATCCTATGAAGCCTATCGCAGTGGACCTTGGGTGGAGGGTGATGGAATGTGGCTCTGCACTGACCTCAGGATGGAGGTGTTCTCAGGACAGACAGACGTGCCAGAGCTGCAGGCTGTGGGCCTTAGACCTGCACACTGTACTGTAGGGGGTTAGTCCTCGGAGGGTCTCAGGATCTTCCATCTACACCAAGGCCATGCTGTGCAAAAGCACGATGAGGTAAGGCCACCGCCAAGTGAACTGGGGCAGCTAAGTACTATTAATGATGGACGTTCCATGACAGGCCTGTCTCCAAAACTATCTGGTGATACCTTCTCTAAAGAAAGAGCGCATCCGTTCAACCCCACAGAGATCTGGTTCTGACTCTGCCAGAGACGCTGCTTCCTCCAAACAGGTCACTGCTTTCTTATCTGAACAGCAGGGCTGCTGAGTTCCTGATGTACTCGTTGATTCTATAGTGAATTTCACAAAAACATCACAGAGCTTTTATTTTGCTTAAGCAGCTGCTTACTCTGTTGGCCCACATTGCATTCTACATATAGCTAACGAGAGGCACAAAAACCCCACTCCCGGGGGCGGGAGTGAGTCAGATCATACACTGGACTCAGCTCACTTTACCCGAGGCCCCAGGGTAGGAAAAGGCACTTGACTAAACACTGGACCCCAGGGATGTCATTCTCCAGAGGTCTGCGTGAAGCTTCCTTATTCGTGCCTCCAAGTGCCTGAAAATCCACAAACCCCAGAGCCTGTGAGGGACAAGCCCTCTATGAGCCCTGGGGGCTTTGTGCATGACCCGCAGCTGGCCCACTCCAAACTGGTTCTCTGGCCACTCCAAAAGTCTCCTACTGTTTAAACTGGCTCTAGAGGTGACAAGACTTCAGGCCCAGTAGATGTTTCAGAGCCGTTTCATTCCAGGTTCTGGGGACCATGTCTTTCCATCTCCCAGCCCACGTCTGGAGGGAGTAGTGATAGTAATGATCCTCCGAATAACACTGAGTGAGTGGGGGCTCGGTGCCAGGCAGCCCACCAAGCCTTTGGCATTTCAACGTGAACAGCCCCATCTCATAACGGTTTTACAGATCATGAAACGGAGGTCCCGAAGAGTCACATCATGTGTCCCAGGGTTCTGAGCTGCCCCCTTGCCTGGCTTGGTATGGATGCCTGCTGAGAAAAGCACTCCAGCAAACACTGGACCAGAGCTGGCCAGTCAAGAGGCCCACATCCTGAAGCGTCACCAGCCAATGTTGCAAAGTCACAAGAAAAGTCGCATGTAGTCTTGTTTCTTGGTTTCAACTACCCAACTTAGACAATGTTTTCTAGCCCTCTTCCGCTCCGTCTATACTAAGCATCATGCCCAGGCACAGCTGTCCTGAGGTGTGTGAGGCCTTCACTACCTCATCCTCACTATATTTTTGCTTTCCCTTCCAACCCTCCCATCAGCAGCTGATGCCCCAGGAAGATAGCACCATGCCAGTGCGTACCAGCTCATGCCCCCTCAAACCTCCTGTGCCCTCCTGCCTGTGCCAGGCATGGCTCTCACACAGACCCCTCCCCCTTCACAAATCCTGCTCAAACGTCAGGACTGCTGGTAATGGTTCCCCTAGTGGGTCCTCTTTTGTGTCCCCACGTTCCCCTCTAATGTCAGAGCTGTTAGTCAGCTGTCTGACTTCACCTGGAGGGAAGGACAGGACCTCCCTCATCTCCCCATGTCCTGCCAGTTTCTTGCACTCAGTCAGAGTTTAGTAAACGTGTGCTAAGCAGAGGAATGAATTAAGCGGCATACGGCGGCTTGTTCCCAGGCACTTCTGTCAAGTGTGTTCTAGAGCACGGAAGGAGCACAGTCAACGTCAAAGAAACCTAGAGACAGCTTCAGGAACCTTTGGTGCAAATCAATGTCTCACACGTGACAAATGCCACAACACCCTCTCCCCCTCCTCTCGTCTTCCAGAGCTACGGCCGCTCTACATCCAGAGTGAACCATGGGCTTGTCCTGGGACCTGTGTCAGAGCCACGCAAGACAAAGCCCCGCTTACCTCCTTCCTGGGAGTTCATGATGTTCAGGGCAAACAGCATGGCGTTGGAGAATGTGGTGGCCTCTTCCTTACTCGCAAAGTTTAAGCCGTAGACCTGGCGGGCGTCTCGCCACTGGTGGAAGGTTGGTGTCGCCTGATTATATTTCAGCCCTTTCACAATCGAGTAATTGATCACCACCTGGAGAGAAGAGAGAGAGAAATACGTGTAAACATGTAACACGTAAGTGAGCGGGTGGGAGCTGCAAGAACACTGCACCCTGCCTCCCCAAAGCTACGTGGTGTGAGAAGTGGGGTGCAGTTCTCAGACAGCTCTGCAGTGAGATAGACAGAAAACAATTCTCTCACCTAGACTACAAGGCTGTGACGTCACAGCCTTCAATGAGGAAATTTGAGCTTGGAGTTGGTTCCCTGGGCCCAGCCCTCAGCCACGCGGCTTGAGGTGGTCAGTCCACTTTTCTGAAGCTCAGTTTTCTCAACGATAAAATGGGGCTAACAATCCTAGGTTCACAAACTCCTGGGGTTACAGCAAGGACTAGTGTGGAGCAGGCTTGGGATCTAGACTGTATACTTTGCTAGTGCAGAGTTACGCTCCCCACATTCTTTGCCACGACCTGAAATGCCTTCATCAGTGGGCTTTTAATTAACTACAAGGGTAACTGAGAAATGTAGTGTCGCACACAAATGCACAGCTTTATTAGATCTTGACTGCTAATCAATCAATAAACATCAAACAGATGCCAGGGACCAGGCCAGGCCGTCGGAGAAGGCTACAGCGCAGCCGAGACCGGACCCGACCATTGGGTGTCATCAGTGACTCAGCACCAGGTCCGTGTGACTTCCCAGCTTCTGCTCCTCCAGGGTCTGAAGGAGAGCGCTCTGCAGGCAGCCCAGGGCGTGGAGAGCAGAGGCATGGAGTCCAACACCATGCAACTTTCTAGTCCGTGCACTGTGAAGGGACCTCACACAGTTCCTGGCATGTAGTAGGTTACCACTGTCAACGGAGAGACACTAAGGGACCCTGGACACGAAAGTATGCCCGCAGAGTCTGAATGGGGCGGATGGTCATCTGTCAGGGATGTGATGGCCAGGTCTTATTTAGCTCTCAGTTCCCTTCTGGTTCTGAGACTCCAGGATTGGTAGTCTGAGATAAAGGATGACACTTCCCACTGTTTCCCTAGTCATGAGGGAGAGCTCAGGAAAAGATTTGGAGATGCGAAGGACACAGGACATGGTCAGACATCCTGCATGCTTATGGGCAGGGAGGTAAGAACTCATTGACGGCCCTCCTTTCCTGCTGGTGGAGAAAGCAAGGCCTGAGGACAGCAAACACGAGCAACACTCAGAGCACTGTTCATGCAAGTGTTAGCCAGGTGCAAGGTGGGTGCTGGCGTTCCTCGGTGGAAAAAGAGCAAGAGGTCATGGTCTCCAGCTGGTTGCCTTGGTCAACATCTACACACAGGTTCCCGGTGGCGCTCTCCCTCTCTGCAGCAGTGGCCCAGAGGAAGTAAGCAGGCTCAGTAATACGTCATGAGAACAGAGCTGGAAGGTCAGTGTGCTACAAGGGCAAGTCCAAGAGTACTGCCAGCAGGTCAGGTTTACTGATTCACTAACCCGTGTTTACACATGCCTCTTCCTCTGGCGGATGGCTACTGACAAGTTCTGTCAGGAATGTGTCTGTCTTAGTCCAATCAAAACAGTGGCTCCGAGGAGATCTGCTGGGTTAGTTCAATTCAAGACAGAGAGGTCAGCTCAGAAGGTTTGCGTGACTGTTTTTTCGGGGACCCCAAAGGGGCCATCTTGATAGAGTTTCTCCAAAGACATAGGATGATTATTAGGAAGAAGTTTTAAGAAAATTGCAATTTACACTGCGGAGAAAAAGGCCAGGAAAGTTGTGTCAAGGAATTCTTTCCCATCACAACAATGCATCTGCTCATTCTTCCAGGCTAACGAGGGCTGGTAAGGGAACGGAATCCAGAGCCAGGTCTCTAGCGCTGGTTTCATGCTGGATGACACAACTTCTTATTACCAGCACAGCACACGGGGACCTTTCTTCCTGTTATTCCCTCTCTGGGGCTCGCAGAGTCCTCGGGAGCTCGACTTTTGAAGCGGCTCTTTGGGTTTTAGATTAGGAGAGCCCTGCCCTGTCCATCCTTGGGTTCTCAGCTGCTCACAACTGGCTGCCCATGACTGCACGCCTGGGTCTGCCATCTGGGAGGATTCTAAAACAACTGTGAAAGCCATGGTGGCACCGTGTTACAGTTAGGGTCCTTGAGTCAGTTCTGACTCACAGTGACCACACACCAGGTCCTGCGCCCTCCTCACAACGACTCACAGTGACCACACACACAACACAACACAATGAAACCCCGCCAGGTCCTGCGCCCTCCTCACAACGTCTCACAGTGACCACACACACAACACAATGAAACCCGCCAAGCCCTGCGCCCTCCTCACAACGACTCACAGTGACCCACACATAACACAACACAATGAAAACCCGCCAGGCCCTGCGCCCTCCTCACAACGACTCACAGTGACCCACACACACAACACCACGTCTCACAGTGACCACACACACAACACAATGAAACCCCGCCAGGCCCTGCGCCCTCCTCACAACTGTTGCTATACTTGAGTCCATCGTTGCTGTCACTGTGTCCACCCATCTTGTTGACCGTTTCCCTCTTTGGGGATGTGGCGTTCTTCTTCATATAGCTCAGCTTCCCGGATTATTTACAGCATACAACTGTGAAAGTACGGGAGAAGGATCCAACCCTGGTGCACATCTCTCCTGATTTTAAATCATGTAATATCTCCTTGTTCTATTTGAACCACTGTCTCTTGGTCTATGTACAGGTTCCTCGTGAGCACAATTAAGCGTTCCAGAATTCCAATTCTTTACAATGTTATCCTTAATTTGTTAGGATCCACCCAGCTTAATGCCTTTGCATAGTCAATAAAACACAAGCAAATATCTTTCTGGTATCTTCTGCTTTCACCCAGGACTCACCTGACACCAGCAATCATATTGTTGTTGTTGTTAGGTGCCATCGAGTCCGTACCAACTTATAATGACCCTACATACAACAGAACGAAACACTACCTGATCGGTCATGGTCCAACCTCACGATCGTTGCTACAGCTGACCCCACTGATGCTGCCCCTGTGCCAGTCCATCTCGTTGGGGGTCTTCCTCTTTTTCTCCGACCCTCCACTTTACCAAACATGATGTCCTTCTCCAGTGACTGGTCTCTCCTGACAATATGTCCAAAGTATGACAAATGAAGTTTGGCCATCCTGTCTTCCAAGGAGCACTCTGGCTGCACTTCTTCCAACACAGATCTATTGGTTCTTTTGGCAGCCCATGGGACTTTCAGTATTCTCCTCCAACCATAACTCAAATGCATCAATTCTTCTACAGTCTTTCTTATTCACCATCCAACTTTCGCATGCCTATGAGGTTATTGAAAATACCATGGCTTGGGTCAGGCGCACCTTAGTCCTCGAACTGACATCTTTGCTCTTGAACACTTTTAAGAGGTCTTGTGCAGCAGATTTGCCTAATGCAATATGTTGTTTGATTTCTTAACTGCGGCTTCCACAAGTGTTGATGGTGATCTGAGCAAAATGAAGTCCTTGACAACTTCAATCTTTTCTCCATTTATATGGATGTTGTTTACTGGTCCAATGGTGAGGACTTTTATCTTCTTTACACTGAGGTGTAACCCATACAGAAGGCTGTAGTGTTTGATCTTCATCAGTAAATGTTTTAAGCCCTCTTCACTTTCAGCAAGCAAGGTTGTATCATGTGCATATCGCAGGTTGTTAATAAGTCTTCCTCCAATCCTGATGCCAAATGCGTCTTCATATAATCCAGTTTCTCAGATTATTTGCTCAACATACAGACTGAATATGTATGGTGAAAGAATACAACCCTGGCACACACTTTCCCTGATTTTAAACCATTCTGTGTTCCCTTGTTCTGGTCAAACAACTGCCTCTTGGTCTATGTATAGGTTCCTGATGACCACAATGAAGTGTTCTGGAACACTCATTCTTCTCAATGTTGCCCATAGCTTGTCATGATCACACAGTCAACTTGTTCTAAATCCTCTTCTGTTGTTGTCAGGTGTCATCGAGTCGGTACCGACCCATAGCGACCTCATGCACAGCAGAATGAAACACTGCCCGATCCTGGGCCAACCTCACTACTGCTGCCAAGCTTGAGTCCATCGATGCTGCCACTTGGCCAATCCATCTCGTTGGGGGTCTTTCTCTTTTTCTCTGACCCTCCTCCTTACCAAACATGATATCCTTCTCCAGCGACTGGTCCCTCCTGACAATATGTTCAAAGTATGAGAGACGAAGTTTGGCCATCCTGGCTTCCAAGGAGCACTCTGGCTGCACTTCTTCCAAAATGGGTCCATTGGTTCTTTTGGCAGTCCATGGCACTTTCAGTATTCTCCTCCAACACCACAACTCAAATGCGTCAAACCATCTTCTGTATTCACTGGAATTTATGGCAGCTCCATATCCTTTCCTAACACCGAATCATCACCAGTCTTCCTTATTCATTGTTCAGCTTTCAAATACATATGAGGCAACCGAAAATATCACGGCTTGGGTCAGGTGCACCTTGGTTCTCAAAGTGCTATCTTTGCTTTTGAACACTTTAAAGAGGTCTTTTGCAGCAGATCAGCCCAACGCAATATGTCATGTGATTTCTTGATTGCTGCTTCCACAAGCATTGACTGACTAGAGCCAAGTAAACCAAACCCCTGACAACTTTCATCTTCTCTCTGCTTACAATGATGTTGTTGCCTACTGGTCCAGTTGTGAATATTTTTGCTTTCTTAACATTAATGTATAATCTACACCAAAGGCTATAGTCTTTGATCTTCACATGTATCTTCATCTTCATCTTCAAGTCCTCTTCCTTCGCAGCATGCAGACTGGATACAGATGATCAAAGGGCAGAACCCTGACTCACACCATTTCTGATTTTACTGTATAACAATCAAAAATTATATACGAATACAGGCAATAAAATGGGTGGATCTTGCAGGCAGTATGTTGCATAAAAGAAGCCAGACACCAAAGAGTACAAAGACTGACTACGTTCATTAATCTGCGGTCAAGAACAAGAAAGGTAGCTGATGGTACTAGAAGGTCAGAATT